GGATACAACTAGTTTACATATTTGTTCCTCTATTAGTGCATTCAAAACAAACATTGGATGAAAATTGGACAAAATTATAATAGTTTTGTTTGTAAAACCCAAACAAATATTTGCTATATCACCTCTGTTACGGAAACAAAAGGCACGTTGAAATCGTATAAAAGTGTATAAATTAAGGTTTTAATCGCCATTTTTAACCGATGAAGGGTCTATCACGTTCGTATTTCTTTTGTCGTTATTAATCCTTATTCTGTTTATCGACACAAATTCTAATTTTAATATTGATTTTGAACCCTTAGCCCATCACAAACACTCGAGATTGTTTTTTAAATCATCATTCAGCCCAGGGACAACAATTATTGTTTATAAATCTGCCAAGCCTACATTTAAGCCTCTACTAATCCTTGAAGCGACAAGAGATTTTCTCCAAAGATGATGTAACTCCAGAAGCTTGTTTATTACTTTGCGCAAATTCTTGGACTATTACCTGCATCTTTATGTACAGCAAGCAAAGGAGCAAACTTGTCTGAAAATTTGTGAAAAGTCGCAAAACGATTAATCGACTTTTACAAGAAGCGGAATGTCAAAAGCAAAGTTTTCGCAACTCTGTGTCAACAAGTTCGCAACTGCGACCGATCAATGGGAATATTTAAGTTAAATAATCCATCCCTAGTAGCTAATTTGAAGTAATTCGGTCGACATATTTTGAAATATTGTCACACTATCGCGACTACTTTGACTAAAACCATCGTAACGAATGTGGGAAATAAATCCGTTTCGTCTGTCTCTGCGAGCTTTATTGTGGTATTAAAGCAATTATTGCGGAAGTTTGAAGTTACCTAGTTTACCTTTCCTCGGCTACTAAACAATTAAACTTAACTTGTAAATGCACTTGCACTGTAATGAATCTCTTGCGATCATTTTTATTCAGAGCGAGGGAATTTACTGGTATTTTCGTCGTGTCTACTTTGTTTGCTAAACTTTTCCGGCGTAAATTTTCACTGATCTATGAACTTTTTTCTCGGTTACTTTGCATCTTATTCAACCCACGTACACTTCACATGCATTTGCGATTCCGTTCATGGACCATTCTAAGATAAAGCGAGTCGTTGTTATTATTTTCACTCGTTTAATGGACAAGGTGGCAAAAACACTTTCACTAAATTATCTTAAAGCCAAGCTTCACTTTGTGGGAAATTGAGCTGAATTAATTTCAGTGCGCAGCAGAAGAACTTATCTCGTTTAAATTTCGTCAAGGCTGAAGTTATACGTACCACAATTACCGCAGCTGAAATTTTAAATCACGTGGCGATTACATCATACGAGAAGCGAAATTGAAGCTAACAGGTAGACACGGAACTCACAAGTATATGCTTGTATTTTAGTATGTTGTATTTAATATAGCTAAGTTGGCCTACGGAATTTGGAGTCTGACTTAAAAAAAACAACTGCCAGGTGTGGGATTCGAACCCACGCTCCGTATTTATGTATTTTCCTACTAAGTCAGGATAGAGAGTTTGTGCAAAACAAGACCTAAGTGGTCATTGCACTCCCAGGCCAGTAACAGACAGGTGCCGACCGACAAGGTCAATGACCCCAGTGTAAGTAGTGGGGCTCCTAGCTCAGATTTCTTGTCGTTTAGTTTAGTTTAGTGTCTTTATTTCACTCTCACGTGTACAATCTCAGCAAGCGTTATCACTATTTGTATTAAATTACGAGTACTTATTGACATACGTGTCTTACATACTTTATGTTGTGTCGAGATAATCTTCGACCATTTTATTGTTTATTTTAAGAAGTTACATTTTCTAATAGTAGCTTATGTTACTGTTAATAAATTCATTACTATTAGTAGTGTTAAAGCGTGTAGTGTGGAACCGGACATCGCAACTTCATTAAATATTGAAGCATTTGCTAGTATAGTGGGAATAAATACATATATAAAGCAAGGGCTCTAATGTGTTTATTATGAATGAGACGTGATTCTCCACTTTCGACTAATTGTTAAAGGTACACACACAGCCAGCAGCTTTCAAAATGAACTGACTTTAAGTTTTGATTTTGAACAAACGATATAAAAGTCATATAGTTTTATTTTCACTAATATTTGCTTAAACTGCGATACATCGCAAAGATAACTCGAAAGTTGAATTTGCTTACCCCAATTAAAAAAATACACTTCCTGCCCCGAAATCGATAAACCCTGAAGGTCACTTCACATACCTTTTCAGCCTTCCTTTTAGACTAATTGTTAAATTTAGTTGATTGTGTGACCTGATTTAAGGATGTACAAGAGACTGAACCTAGAGGGTCTAAATAGGATGTGGCGTCCTAAAGAAACATCCACATCCTGTTTAAAGATTGGAATTTTCTGGGGAAAATTGGCTATTAACGGTAAACATTTACTGGCGTCGATCATAACTATCTATTCCTCTGAATTCAATAAATTTTTGACTAGCTTAACGGAAAATGTAATAAAATCAAAGAACTTTTCAATCAACGTTGGGTGTTAAGCACTTTTAAATTCGATTTATCGGAACAGCTTGAATGTGAAGATAATTACAAAAACTGATTACGATAAAGAGTTTTAGTTTTTCAGGACAAAGACGACGTGGGGAGTAAATTCTTAGTGGGTTGAAAAAGTGTAAATTTAGCAATATGGTGTTCACTGATATGAAATAACTAGTCCAGTTTCCGCCTATTTAGCAGTTATTAACGCAATGTAACTTAAATCCTAATTTGGGTGTGACCTTTGTAATCCTGGGAATTTAAAGCCATGGGCTTTGCCTGTCCGATTCAACTATTTGCCATTGCGCTCCTCTCCAGGATTATATAGCTTCTCGAGCTTGTAAAACTACCCGATACGTATTGGCGAAGCTCGATAATAAAGATTTTCCGAATACATGCCAGAAATATCAGTATTTATTAGGTTTTAATTATCATATAAATGTATTATCTTGTGACCTTATTTTATTTTTCTTTTATCTTGTTGCGTGCGAAAGTTTTACAGCGTTCACGATCATTTAACTTTAACTAATTAAGCATTAACGCGAATAAAATGCAAAGTGATTGTGACGACAGATACACTGGCTACCAACGTATGTTACTTGATAACAATAGAAATTTTTTCGGGGAATTATTTTAGTAATTTACTAACTTTTACCTCTAAGGACTTGTTTGAAAATTACGTCGTGATAGATAACCAAGGACAAAGTTCCGCCGCATCTCTATTCCTTTAAAGCAGAGTCCTTTACAGTTCCTTCAAAAATAAAGAGTAAGTAGGTACGCTAGGAATGCCTTATCATTCTCCCACTTTTATACATTCCAACTTTGGCCAGTACATTCCTCTATGTAAATTTTTCACAACTTCTCGAGTAAAGTGATGCTACCCTGCGGTAGGTTAAAATAAAAGGGGGCCTTTTTGTTACTTAATTAAATACGGGAACACTGTAGAAGTAACACGAAAAAGAAAACTTTGATGTCACTCTAATTTCACTGCAACTTGAATTATACTTATCACACGTGAAAGGGCAATAAAGTTTGACGAGCATGCTGCAGCTGGCGTGAAAATGCTGCTCGTCTGATGTTAAAATCAAACGAAGAGCAGTCATAAAAATTAATTACTTTTAAATTTATCCGGGATAGTAATGGTCGTCACAACACTCCCACCCAAAAAGTAAAAAATACGATAGATATTACCACTGATCGATCGGAAATTTAGAAAAATGATAAATATTGATTAAATATTTAGTTACCACTTCTTGGCTTGTAGGTAATCATGTAAATGTTTACATATAATCAAGAATTGCCTTCCTGACCGTGCCTTCTAATCAACGCTTAACCTATATCAATGTTACGTTAACAATTAATTGAGCCAATATTAGCTTTATTCAAAGAGTAGCTTCAGAGCAAATCGGTGGTATTCAGTGAATTTCTCGCAAAATATTCTCAGATTTCATTGTCACTTAACAAGACCCAAGTTGCTTATATGGTTCAGTTTACATAAAACCGACACCTTGTAAACGAGCTATTTAAAAGCTTTAACTTGTCCTTTAATAGAACACACAATGGGCGAACACAGAAGGAACAAATAGGGTCTAATTTACAGTTCTCTGTACTTCCCGGTAGAAATCTGGGAGATCTGCCGATATATTTTCATCAAAAGAAATATGTTTAATCATTCAGAGGGTTCACCCAACGTGACAACCCTTGTCTCATTATACATATATAGGGATGCAGGAAAGGGTGCACTTGTAGGGATCAACCACTAACTGGTGTTTTAGTACTTGAGAGCTCTATACTGTGCTTTTAATCTACATGAGGGATCTAGGATAATTTCGTTTTAAATGTACAATCAAATGGGACGTTTTGGATTTCATTATTTGTCGTTTTTGTTACCAACCAAAAAGGTATATATCAACTAAAATTCAATTTTGATGAGATAAAGCTATATTTCTCATTTAATTATACTCGGAAATCATTCCGACTTCCGGGTTATTGCTTTTTTAGTGCAGAATTATGTAGAGCCATTATATATCAATTTTTCTTCTTTTCCTGTGCGTTTACATAACTGGGTAATGGCCGATTAAAGAATTAAAGTGCTACTTAAAATTTAGGACGACGTAACCGTTAAGATTACATTTTACTCTCTTTGTTCTATGATTACAAGTTTCGAATTAGCAACACACGTAAAAATTTTACACCAAAGGGAATGCAAATACGCATATACAAAGTGTGTTAATGTTTCCTTTTGTTGCGATGGCAACAATGGGTCGAAAAATTCCGTTTGATTTAAAATTCCGAGCTGAAAGTAGTAGTGTTCTTACTGACAAAGTAATCTTATTACTTTTCATTAAAAGAATACTAGAGTAAGCGTTTTGCAGTTAGTAGTCGCCATCCTGTCGCTACTAGCAACCATTTTTCTTCTTTTATAAAATTTAGTGTGACACGTCAACAATTTGTAGTCGGCTTTAAATTTTGAAACAGGTGCTTTGTTGCAGGTTACAATACATACACATACAATGAGAGCGCTCACAGCGAGAGAGTTCCCGACGAGATTTTGTCAGTGCGTTACGAAGACGGAAAATGGTCAAAACCTTACTACGACTGTGGTGGCGGAAACATCTGGATGCTCACTTACACAGTTCCGTTTTTTGGATATCAGAACAATACCTACTACTTCAAGTGAGTGTTTCCTTCCGTTTTTGTTTTCGTAATTAAATGTCATTCCCTTGAAAGAAATGTACTATTACAAGGGTTCTGCTTATTGCGGTGGTAGATGTACGACGCAAAGCTGCGCCCGATTTAGTCGGCTTAATATTTGTCCACATATGGGTTTCACGTTTTAAAGACCACAGTGACTGAAATTATACCGACGAAAAGTTAAATTCGAAATAGATTAAACAAAGGAAAAGTGAGCCAATATTGGTCTCAAATTAAACAAAAAGCAATTTATTGCCTTGAAATTACTCCATGGTTTAGAATTTCCAGGAAGCTAAAATAGCTTGATACGGTCGTCACAACACTCCCTACTCAAAAGTAAAAATAAACAATTTTTCAAGCAGTTAATGTATCTATGACTACTTTACTAAAAAATAATAATAATTTTACGTGAAAAGGCAGCGCTGTTCTTGATATTTATTAAATTTTAATAGCCATTTCATGGTTAGTGGGTGACTAATCATGTAAATATTCACACGTAATCAAATATTCACCTCCTCGTTTACCTTTAATCAACGGGTCTTCTGCATCTAGATATACAGCTAGTTAACTTGTTCACGGCATTATATGATTTTTTGGAAATGCAGTGATTCCGTTTATATTTGTTAATAATTAAATTAAAATCTTGTCTTTGAAAGTTTTTAACTAGTAGTTTAAGTGGTAGTTCCAGATGGCTAGGTTTTAATGGAAAAAGTTAAGTTGACAAGTGGTGGATAATATTTTCGCTAGAACTGGTGCATGGCTGACATTCGTTAAGTTGCGATAACACTCCTATCGATATATTTGTTTTTAATTTAGTTACAATATTTATAATTATTGTCTCGTTATGACTTTAACGCTACATACTTCAAACGCGTGAATCCATTGTAACAGATTTATTAGAAATAAAACTACTCCAATTAATAGTTCTTTATGTCGCATTTATCCGTCGCAAATAAACGAGGCGCTGTGTCGCTTTTTTTCACAGTCCTAATTAAAACTTTTTCCGGAAAAATCGCGACTGGGTTGTTTATTTTTCCGACACCTCTATATTTTTCCGGTTAATTCATAGTTGCAGTGTCAACTGCGCCTGTTTGCGGACCATGCATTGGTAAATAGCAGATGTAATTCTCACTTTGATGGAAATTTTGTTTATGCTATCTCTGCGGTAGCAGGTTTTTTATTAAAATATGTTGACAGATGCAGCCGGAGAACGATGTGTTCTCATTTGGACAAGAGCAGGTCACGTATGCCGGTAGTTTAAGCCGTGCAAACTATAGTGATGAATCGATAAGCGTCTAGGTTCGGAATGTGAGCATTTTATCTGTTAGGCGAAGCACAATTATCCGTACACACTCGGCGCATTGTTGCTTTGACAGAGCCAGACGGATTTGGAAAGCATCCGAATGGTATAAAGCGGATACGCGACGTTCATCAACAGACAGAACATACTTTGTGTGGACCAGCGGACCTCGTAACAACAAATCAGACAACTATAGCACTCATTTAAACCCACACCATATATATTACAGCTCGAGTTATGTTTGTGACGTTTTCATTTGCTTTACTAGACGTTCGCCTTTGTCCTCTTGAAGTGGAAGAAGAGGTGTAAACATCGGAAGAATTCTCAAAAGACTGTCTTGGGATGTAGCAATCAATTATATACCAACTGCATACTTAAAAAAAAAAAAAACAGAACCAAGGCAAATTGTTCGAACCGCTCACAGAACTTTATTCCCCGCAGAGTTAGTTAGCATTTATTAATGCTACTTTAGAAGAGATTTATTTCTCAATTAAAATTATTATTTCTGCTACTCCCTAGTGAAATCTTCAGTTGATATTTACCTTTCGCGTGAATGCACAAGTTTGAATTAGCATAGGTGCCTAGAGCATCTAAAATCCTACAAAATTAGAAGTAACTATATTTGTCTGTCGGAGTTCTAATGGAATCGACTCTTACGTGAAGAACCAGATCGCCGGTTGTTACGTAAACAACAACCCAGTGAATGCGTGTGATCGAGAAAATCTATTTAGTGTCTGTGAATAGATCAAACAAACGACAGAATAAAATTCAAACCCCGAACAAGGTGTAAGTGTAAACTTAATTTGTTTTACCAAGCCGAAATTTCCAACCAAACCAAATGTTAACCTTTTCACGTGCCAAAGGTCAGTTTAGACATGCATTTTGTCTAATTTGTATTCAAGTTCGTTCGATATATTCACGCAAGCTACCCCATATATTTTTCGGAACACTAAATCACCCTGAGGGGCATTTTTTTTTCTCATTATATTTAATGAGCCTTTTTGCTTGCACTACACTTAATTATATAGTAGGTAATTATGTGTGTGAGAAATTACAATAAATTTGTGATATCGGGAGCAGAATTTATGCCGCAAGGGAAAATGGAATTTTAAATCCCAATATGTTCCGACTTCCTGCCCGGCAAAATATTTCAGATCTCAAGTGCGGATTCGACTTTACACTTTGTATAATGGCTTCAGCTGAATGAATTTTAAAACCTTTATACCAACAGGTTGATCTGACATTTTAGTCACACAAAAAGTATCGTAAATTTAACTGGAACATTTGGTGAAAACTTGACCGGTATTGCTATAATTTAAAGTTTTCGTCAAAAGTACTCGGTCGTGAGCTATCGCTGATTTAATGGTTCATTTACAGTGTGGTTGGCGCTTTCTACGGGCACAGTTGCTCGGGCGCCAGCTTTCTCGTTGCCGACAACGCACTTTTTCGATATATCGTGTTTTATTGAAGCAAAGAGAATATCGATTATCGATACCAAGAGCGTATCGCCTAATAACGACATGTTTAAAAATGATTAATAATGTTCGTCTGTCAAACTAATAACACTGACGGTAATAAGGTTGTAAAATGTTAGACACGCAGGAATTTAGACTGCCTCAATAACACAACTGATTGAAAATTGAATCACCCTTAACAAAGCTGTTTCAGTTTAATTTAATTCAATTTGTCACTCGGTTAACCAACAACTTTATATAATTTATGTATTTTGTTTTATCTCAAAGTTTAGTTACTTAATTATTAAGTACGTGGGTGATGAAAATGAGGGTTGGTGTAATTTAAATTTGCCACTACTATTTTTATCCAAATGCCTAGTTTCAATAATGACTTTATAAGTTCAGTTCACCCACTAATTACAAAGCGGTCTTGTAAATCATGTGCTTTTCAGCCAAATGAGGTTCAATTTTTTTATCCGTTCTCCTTCGATTACGGCTGCCTCACCAATAACACCTTTTCATTAAATTAATTACTTGAGTTTTTTGTGGAAACTAAACAAAACTTTATAAGTATTTTTTAACTAGAAAATGAAACCTTAACCGTATTACCATGACACATTATTCTTTATTAAAGACATCAAAGAAACTTGATCTCATTAATGATCCGGCGTCGCTTTCGTTCCTGAATATGGCAACATATTGAATAAAGCGAAACGTATTTTTAGCTCTAGCCTAAAGGAAATAAAAATGAAATTAAGGAATATCGATATGGGTTGCCTAAAAACGTGTTTAACTCAGTTTTCATCTAAGCGATTATTTGAAGTTGCGGCATATTTAGAGAGTGGGATGTATGTTGATAATACGTAATTTATATCGACACAAATCGATATCAAATTACCAACTTAAATCAAGTTTCATCAATTTGAATTAGCCGAAATATGTCAACATCAATTCTTATTGATGTTAATCAAATCACGATTCGATTTAGTTTTGCATGTTGATAATAATAATATTAGATTGACGAGCTTTTTTTAGTAATGAACGCAATCCCAGATTTTATTTTAAAAACTTTTGCGGCTTTGACTGCGAGCGACTCCTGCTGTCAATAACGTCAAGTGCATACTTTCAAAGCGCTCTAGATGCAACGGAAATCTGCTTTGGTGTTCTCAATCAGAACTTTTCCAAAACGCTCCAGACAATACTTTCTATAATTAATGTCACATAACTGTGTCAGATAAAGGGCGCCATAGCATAATTTTATTTCTAATTTAGAGTTTCTATTCGGATGTTTAATGCTTTTTTATAAAAACCGATCCTTATCTGTGACGGTAAGCAGAGAAAAATGTCTCTGGCTCTCCGGGCAAGTATCCTAACCACTGGACCACGAAGCCACTTATCTTTCTCTGCTAACCGACGTGTTATTATGCCGCCACACTTGTTTATTTAACAAAAATGATTTCACCGCCCGCTTAATTATATTTTGATTATCAAAAATGAAAAGAATATTTAGGTAAAGTGTGCGTTATGTTTATGTCGTCACCAAAGGCAAACGCATAAATTTGCCGCATGCGTGAATTAATGGATCATTAACGTCGACCTGCTACGTTAGGTTAATAAGTTAATTACCACAATTTTGTACAATACAGGAGGCTGACTAGCATTCTGTGTTAGGTTTCAGCGGCAGTTTCCCGACCGCTTAGAGTGAATTCGTTATTTTTATTTTGTGTACTCTTTTACGTTTTATTTTTCAATGTATGTTTTTTAGTTTTATATTTTTAAAAGTTTCGTTCGTTTCGGGAAAATGTGCCGACGTAATATTTTAGTTCTAGTGGGTGATTTATTTTTAGTTTTGTAATAGTTCTCTCGTAAAATTATAAAACAAACACTAGTCGAAGATATAAGGGTAGTGGGTACAACGTTCGACGCTAACATGGCCACTGTTAATTAAATAATGGAGTAAACAGTCCATCAAATAAGCAGTTTCGGTTTAACAGCTTGAAACTCTTGAAGGTATTATCGATTTATAATTTAAAAGACATTAAGGGGTATTACTCGCTGTTTCGACGACAATAATATTTAATCAAGAACACTTAACTTAACAAATAAATATTCAATCAAAGTAAAGTTATTACCAGTTTTAATATAGCCTTACTAACTATTTATACATTCCTTTTGTGAAAAGACGCCATAAGACAATACTGCTATTAATCTTGATGAAACACAGATCG